GGGGGGGGTGACACGGGCGTCATTGGGGGGGTTCCATGATTCCCAAACTCCAAAAAAAATACACATCTTGGTTTCTGTCTTCATCCCTGTTACAGATTCTTCCTCACTTCCTGTCTAGTAAGATGTTGTCACCAGGACAGGAAGTGAGGGGATTCAGACACCAAGGTCTCCGGTACCTCTAATGACCTCTGTACTCGGCATTGCCTGCAGTGTACACACATTGAAGAGCTGTACTGATATATATCTTGTATTCCAGGACCCGGAACGTCCCAGAACTTTTCCAGCGACTGTCCTGGTGGCCGGAACCGATGAATATCAACATTTCCAGGACCACGCCCCCATTTTCTTCACCAAAACACTGTAAAGTTTTCTATATTGATGATGTACTTCAAGAGCCTGGATCGTGTCTTTGTGGGATCCCTGAGACGGGTTCTATCTCCTAGTCGTCTCTGTAAATATGCAAATATGTGTCACGGCCGTGTTCCCTTCCATCGTCCAATCCTATGCCAGCTTTCCATTCCCCGCCATGTGATTGGCTGATCAAAGTGAACACGGCTTTACTCCATTCACCCGCAGACAGAATGTTCTCCGGGAGTGAATCCGCCGCAGTCCATCGGAAGGAAAATGATTTTTATTTTCTTACATTTAATTTATTACATTGTAACCTATTGTGACTGATATGAAATAAAACGTTCACTGAACACACACACACGGCCTGAGCGTTCATTCCTCGGGGACACCATTCACCCAGGGTGAATATTTCACAAGGTTCTCATCTGACTTGTTTCAACACTTCGGAGCGTCCGCCGATGACGAGCCGGAACATGACCGCGGGAGGAAGAAGAATAAGAGGGAGGAGGAAGCAAATATTCTTCTAGTTTCTTCATCACTCAGCACAATACTGATGACAGGTTCTCTTTACATGACACAGCAACTGACATCCCCACATCTACAATGTACATTATACAGATGAAGCCACAACACGGCCCTATGGGGCCCCAATCCTGCCCCCAATATGGTGCCCCGCAGAGGACACAAAGTGCCCCCCAATATATATATATCACTTCAAGGACAGACCCCCCCC